GGGTTAAAGGACATATCGGTATTGAACAAAACGAGAAGGCAGATGAACTTGCAAAGCAAGGATCAAGCCATAATTTCTGTGGCCCAGAGCCCAGAATACCACTAAGTTACAACATGACGGCAACCTATGTCTATAAGTGGATAACCTCACTTCATCTTAATAGATGGAGAGAGTTGAGCACTTGCAGACAGACCAAACTCATGTTGCCAAAACCGTGGGCCAGGGAAGCGATAAAAGTGCTTAGCTATTCTCGGAGCACTCTAAGCTGACTAACCTCACTAATTACTGGACATGGCAACTTCAAGTATCACCTCAAAAAGATAATTCTTGCTGAGGAAGACACTTGCAGACTATGTCTAGAAGAAAAGGAAACAGCGGTGCATATATTGTGCCAATGCCCAGCACTGGCAAGTAGGAGGAAGACTGTCTTGGGACACCATTGGGTTGGTAATGACTTGGCAAGAAACCTCAAGCTTAATGAGCTGCTTGCATTAACAAAAGATGTTGTTATGCGAACGGAAGCCAGCTTTAACTCAACAACAACATTCGAGAATCGAAGGACGAAAAAGGACACAAGTAGTTTCGTGGTCTACTTCGACTAATCCTTCACTTTAGTGGGACCACTTGTTGGACAGTGCACTGTCCCAACGTCCCACCATATATGTGTCAAGCTCCTGGGGTGAAGCCTCATTTCGCCGGTTACAGTCTAAAGCCCGGATGGTTTACCATTAACTGCCTGGACGACGAGACTGTAACTTGGTCTAAAGAGACAATCCCAGCCTTGAAGCAGTGGGAAGGAGCTTAGCTGAAGGTAGTGGCTCAGCCTCCTGGGAAAGTGACCGTATTCTGGCGGGTACTCCATAGGCTCAATAAGGGTGACCTCGTCGAGATGGTGATTGCTCTGAATCCTATGTCGTTCGAAATGGTCGGAAAGCTGGACAATAAAGTCTTCTATGGACTTAGTAGTGCCATGCTGAGACCAAGACATAAAGGAAACAGAGCAAAGGTAGTGGTTGAGGATGAGCAACCATTAACATCTGCGACTCGTGCTCAGTCAAGCAACCAGAAGCCGAAAACGGGTCTCAACTCCGAGGGACCACCATTGAGAGAGGCCAGAATCCGTGCCCAGGGCCGAAAACCTTCTGCTCTCTCTGGTCGTCTCAGGAAATGAGAAAGGAAAGACCCGGAGGCCGCGGAATTGCTGCGTGGTCCCGACTTTCTCCTATTAACAAAAACCGAAAATCAGCATTTCTTACCGACAAGCTGACCTTAGTTACTGCTATTGGGCAAGCTGCAAACGACGCTGCCTACTTTTAGACATGCCTTATGTTGGAATATAAATCAGAACGTTCTTCATAGGTTGAGCCTTTCGACTCACAACACAGCAGCTCACAAAAGACTGCCGTATCCGAAACCTACAGTGGGTAATGTGCTGCGACGCCAACGCACACCATACAATATGAAGAAGCACGGACACCAATACACGAGGTGAGTCACTTTTTGATTATATCACAACTAACAATTTATTGGTAGTAAATAAAGGTAACGAACCTACTTTTATAAATGCGATAAGGGAAGAGGTACTAGATCTCACTTTAGCAAGCGCATTTATATCTAATAACATTTCAAATTGGAGGGTGTTGGAGGAAAACTCCTTATCAGATCACCGATATATACGCTTTGATTTGGAAGGGGAAGTTGAAGACACTTTCGAAATAAGAAATGTTAGGTATACCAACTGGTCTCTATATAACTTCCATTTAGAACAAAACATTAGTTGTCTTGGGAATAGGATTACTAATTGGCAGGAACTAAATCTTGAGGTTAACAAACTAGAAAATATTATTACAGGGGCTTTTGAAAATAGCTGCGAACTTGTCAAAAAGAAACGTTCTAGGAACGTCCCATGGTGGAATAGGGAATTGGATATTTTGCGCAAAAAAGCCCGCCAGCTCCTTAATAGAGCCAAATCCAGCGGAGACTAGGCATCTTATAAGAGTGCCTTAACGGCTTACAATAAGGAATTTAGGAAATGAAAGAGGGAATCATGGAGAAGGCACTGCGAGGGGATTGAAACTCTTCCTGCGGTTGCGAGACTGCAGAAATCTCTAAACAAAGACCACTCAAATAACCTCTCTACATTAAAGAAGGCTGACGGAAGCTTTACGAAAAGTGTGGAAGAAACGGGACAGCTTTTGCTGGACACTCATTTTCCAGGCTGTGCCATGTATACTGAGACTAAGGAAACCATCGAGGATACTCGTTTCTTGTTGGTTACACGAAGAGATCTTTCACTGGCCCGTAAAATCTTTAGTCAATAAAATTAAAAGGGCTATTTCTACTTTCAGCCCGTTTAAATCATCTAGTATCGATAATATACAACCGTGTCTTCTTCAAAAAGGCGTTGATATATTAGCACCGATATTAATAAACGTATTTAGAATAATTCTAGAACTAGGCGTAATACTTAAACATTGGACGAAGGCTAGTGTAGTTTTCATACCGAAAGCAGGTAAAAAGGCGGACCACACGCTAAAAGCTTTTCGGCCCATTAGCCTTACTTTTTTCCTGCGTAAAGCAATGGAGAAGATTCTAGATCAATACATCAGGGAAGTCTACATTAAAGCTTCACCTCTACATATTGAACAGTATGCTTATCAGTCAGGCAAATCGACCGAGACCGCTATACATAGTCTGACGAGTAAAATTGAGAAGGCTTTAGACGGTAAGGAAATAGCTCTCTGCACATCGGTTGACATTACAGGAGCTTTTGATAATGCAACATTCAGATCAATTGAGGAAGAAATGATCAGGAAAGGAATACATAGACTGATTATAACATGGAATCTCAATATGCTGAAAAATAGGACGATAATCTTTGAAATGGGGACGAAGAGATTAACTGTCAAACCAACCAAAGGATGTCCTCAAGGAGGCGTTCTATCGCCACTCCTATGGCTATTGGTCATTGACGAACTCTTACAGTTTCTTGGTGACCTCGGATATGAAGTTCAGGGCTTTGCAGATTATCTAGTCATCATGGTTAGAGGTAAATTTGACTCCACTATATCCGATCGTATGCAACTAGATCTTGACATCACTCAAGAATGGTGTCAAGAGAAAGGACTCTCGATTATCCGAATAAAACAAACATAGTACCCTACTATCTGAGGAAATGATATATCTAGGAGTAATTCTAGATAAAACCCTTACTTGGAAAAACCATTTATCATATGTGACTAGCAAAGCTCTAAGAGCAACTTATGCATGCCAAAGACTGTATGGTAAAACATGGGATCTGCGACCAAAATTGATGGCTTGGTCGTATAAGACCGTAATAGTACCAATGATCACCAATGCTTCTTTGACATGGTGGCCAAAGGTAAATCAGACGAAGACTAAGATGACTATCAATAAGATTCATCGAACAGCCTGTCTAAGCGTAACGGGGGCAATGAGAACGTGCCCCACAGAAGCCCTAGCAATGTTTACTGGACTCACTCCATTACACATCACAGTTAAAAGGACTGCGACCAGTGCCGCACTAAGGCTTCCTTATCTAGGTAATCTTAAAGAGGGCAATCTGACAGGACACACAAAGATTCTAGATGAAGTCTGGAATTCTCCGTGCCTTAAGGTCTTTGACAAGATGAATAGAAAATTAGCCTTCTCCAGGGAATTCGAAGTGGGACACGAAGGGCATGATGGCAATGATATAGCAGACTTATTAGCAAAGAAGGGTGCATGTACTCCTTTCATTTGTCCAGAGCCCTTCTGCGGGGTAACAAATAGCTTTAGAAATAACTTATTATGTGAACGGGAGAAACAATATCTACTTGAACGCTTGAGAGCCCAAACAAGCATGCGACAGTCAAAAAAATTTATTGATCCTTAACACATCGAAGTTGATGCTATCATCAACCTTAGCAGAAACGATATCAAAATCTACACTGAACTTCTTACAGTACAATGTAGACTATAGGTGCGGTAGAAAGTGATTCCTGTCGACTCTGTCATGAGGAGAAGGAAACATCAGAACATGTTCTATGTAACTGCCCAGCGGCGGCAAGACGTATACTCAATTACCTTGGTAGCGGGATCCTGGTCCCAAATCAAATAGGTAAAATTACGCCCACTGCAATTATAAGATTTATAAATAGTCTAAAATTGTCCTAGTTGGGCCTATAGGCGCACAATCGATCTTTTAGGCCGGAGTAAACAAATAGTCTATTTTAAATAATAATAATAATAATCTAAGCTTACTGCTATGTTAATACTGTAATATGATGTGACGAATTGTTAGTGGATAGCGAGAATGACATTAGGTAAAATTTTGAGTGTTACTTTAGTCCGAATGTTCTTATATAGTATTACCAATTTGTACATTATCCAAAAAAAATTTTTAATTTTTTTATTTTATGCATAAAATAACTGAATTGAGATAAAAACAGGGCAGCCAATCTTATCATTATTATTGCAGCTAGATTATATAAAATATATTATAAATTTAATGAAAATTTATTTTAATAATTTGAGTTATATTACGAGATCAAATTACATAAAATTGTTATTTTTAGTTTATATAACAATGTGAACATATTTAAAAAAAACTTACTTATCAGAGGGTCTGCCAACGACTACATCTTTATTGTTATCTTCATGAACTTTAGTTGATGTGCCTTGTGGTGATGCAACATTTGTTATTTTTTGTTGTCTGTTAAATGTGGACGATGCTTGTTGTTTCCACTGCGTTGGAGGTGGCTGTTGGATGTTTGAACTGGATTCAATACTGCCGCTGGTTATGGTTTGACTTTGCTGATGTTTTTCTTGCTGTGCAGCTGCTTGGCTTGTACTTGCTTCTGTGCTTTGATTATCATTGATTGAAGAATATTCAGCTTGGCTTTCTACGCATTCATCAACATCAACTTCATTATTGTCAATTTTTATTTCGGGACCATCGTTTCCACCTAAATCTGCATCAGGTTCATATGAATCTTCATAGCCATGTTCTGTATCACCGTCCATTGGACCATCATCAGGTTCTCCCATACCGTCATCTTCGGAATCAACGACAACAATTTCATCCTCTTGATCCCGTTGTGATGAAGTTGGTACTTGATATTCTACATCTAATAAATTGGCTTCGCTTTCATGCATTGGTGTCCTTAAACGTTTAGGTTGTTTAGGTTTATCTGCATTAGACTGCTCAGTACACGTAGATGCATCCCCATCAAGATCCCGGGGACGTTTGTGAGCTCCAGATGATCCGGCATGTGTAGTTGTTACATTGCTGCTAGAAGGTGTATGTCTATTTTGGCTACTTACTGCAATATGTGAAGTAGAGCTAGTTGTGCCGGAAGTACTAGGCTGCTGATTATTAGAATCTTGGTGAATTTGAGGATTTGGTGAAGGAGAATTTTGAATAGAACCTTCGACTCGAGGTGAAACTAGTGCTACAACTTGGGATTGCCCACCACTTACTTGCGGCTGTGAATCATTTTGCTGAGATAATTGAACACTTTCAGCTTCTTGAGAACTTTCTGCAGTGTTAATCGCACCCATGGGCGGTATAGTAGCAACTGCAACCGAAGCTGAACTTGTTGAAGGTATATAATCCGTATGCGACGATGTTGGAGAAGATGACATCGATTCTGCAGATGTACTTGCAGTTGTATGTACCTGCTGTTGTGGTGGAACTAGAGCCGTATTACTGGCGCTTCCTGTAGTAGAAGAGGATGTAGAACCACTTGCTGCTATTTGTTGACTATTTGGTAGTATAGCTGCCGAGCGGCTGTTTTGCACAGATATTAGTCGAAAGCTAGCAAGAGGTGTTTCACTTCCACGCCATGGTGTAACTGTAGCTGACTGTTGCACTGTGGATACCAACAAAGGTTTTACATTAGCGGTACGTGGCGAAGAGTCTGAAATTGAACATTTATCGGAGTTTGCAATAGAACTTGTACTTGCTTTTGCAGACTGCTGAGGTCCAAGTAGACGATTAAGATTATTTAGACAAACAGTTAATGATTCATTGTCGCGGGTTAACCGTGCAACTAAATCTTTATTTGAAATACTTTGATCTACTTGTTCTTTTTCAAGACGAGTTATAGTTTCTTCATATTGATTCGTAATCTGAATAAGCTTATCTTCAGATGCTTGGAATTTAGTTTTGATTGTTAATAATTCTTGAGTTAGTGTCATTTTTGCGTCTGAGAGACCACTATTTTGCGCTTTAACTTCACCTAATGTATTTTTTAAATCATCATATTTTTTTTGAAGTTTTTGTTTTTCATCGTCGAGTTGTCGGAGTTCTCCGTTAAGTTTCTCTATTAAGCTTCGTAAGCTGTCGATTTCTGCACTCAATGAAGATAAATTACTTAAACCTTCATTACCTTCACCAGTGTTATTTGTTGAAGTTTCCATAGCATTTTGTCCCGTATTTTCTTCTGATGCATTTCTTTTGTTAGATAACTCTAAATATGAATCCTTATATCGTTTAGCTATTTTACGAATTTGAATTTCTTTATTCTTTACATCTTGTAATTGAACTTCTTTTAACTCTATAGTTTCAATATGTTTCTGAATTATTTCCTCCTTTTGTAGAATTTTATTTTTGAACTCCATTAGCTCTAACATAATTCGACTATTGGTACTTTTAGCAGTCACTAGTTCATCTGAAACCTTTTTATGTTCCTCACTTAATGCTGCTAATTGTTTTGATAAAAGAGTGAGTTCAGTCTCTAATCGGACATAGTCGGCCTTTAAATTGTTGTTTTCATCTGTTGCTTGTTTTAAAATTTCCTTCTCATTTGTCAACATTTTGGCTAAATTCTCTCTCTCCATTTGCAATCTTTTAAATTCTTCTGGATTTTTGTTTGTTTTCTCTACTAAAGCATTAGCTCGATGGCGCCATTTCATAGCTTCATTTTTTGCAGATGTATTTTCTAATACTAATTCCTCAATTTTTAACGTAAATTCACGATTTTGCGCTTGAAGTCGAAATAGTTCCTCTTCAATTGAACTTATTTTTTCATTAAGCTCCTTATTTCGGGCATATAATGAATTTCTTTCTTCACGTAAGACACGATTACTATCAGTCAATGCATCAAACGGCTTAATTTTTCTCAAAATTTCCTCGTGTTTTGTTGCACACACTACTAAGACATTATTAAGAAATTCAGTTAAGTCATTGACTTTTTTTTGTAGAATTTCTTGTTCTGACAACAGACGTGCATTCTCAGCCTTCAGAATGTCTAGTTTTGCTAAAGTTATATCTTTTTCTTTACGCAAAAATTTAATAAATTGCCATAGTTGTTCGTTGGTTTTGTTGTCTT